GGTACCCAGCTCCGTGTCCTTGCCCAGGCTGGGGCTGTACACCCAGTACGCCAGGTTGACGCCCGACAGGATGTGGTAGTGGAACGAGTTCTTGAAGATGTTGATGATCGGCATCGTGCCGTTCGAGAACCGGTGCACAAAGATCGTCTCCAGCTCGCGCTTGAGGAAGTGCCCCATGGCCATGTAGTACGCGCGGCTACATGCAAAGTAGTTACACATCAGTAGACAGCCAATACCCGGAATATTACTAGCAGTGATGTCCACTTACCGCTGAATGTCGCTGTACTCGAATGTCTTGCCATAGACAAGCGTCTGCATGTTGTAGATGAGGAAATGGAACAGCAGTGGCCCAAAGTACTCGACCAAGAACACCGTTGTCCAGCCCACCTGCGGACCCAGGTCCTTGATGTGGATTGTGTCGTTGTCCTTCAGCTCGTACTTGGCCAGTGAGTCGCCGTTGGCAAGAACCGTCTTCTTGTCGCCGATGGTCAGCCGCTGGCGGTCCGGATACATCGACTTGACCTGCTTGTGCACGGCCTTCTTCACGTCGTCGACCGTGGCGTTGTCGCCCACCTCGATGGTGAGTGGGTAGCGCGACGACGTGCTGCTTGATGCGCTGCCACTAGCCCTCTTTGCAATGACAAGCTTCATGTGTGGAATGAAAAGTAAACCAGGTAAATGCGTCTTGCGTTGAATAGTGCAGAGCAGAGATAGCTGCCGCCACGGCGACGTCGGAGCTACAGCCACCATGTCATTGTCCGGTGTGGGAGCAGCGCATGAAAGCCGATTCCATGCTGATTGCAAAATATCGATCAAGACTACTCCCTGATCAGATCACCAACGCGGCACAAGCTCAAGCATCTGGCCACCGCGGCGCGGCGTCTGATTCCATCTTTACCTATCCTTGGGCTCTATAACCGACATTTATAAGGAATAAGAAAATGGTAGGTCTCGGAAGGATGCAGCGGCGTGCGGCGTGCGGCGTGCGGTTTGGATGCGGTGCCGGCTACGATGGATACGCGGGGTGAAGTCATTTTTTCGAGGCTGCGAATCGGGCCTCATTGCAGAAAATCTCGACAATTTATTTTCTGCGAAACGCATTTGGACGGTGGGGACAATTGGAATTCGCAGTCCAGAGGCTATGCGCTCCCCGTCACAGCCCACCCGCACGCACACGCACACGCAAATGAGGAGTAGAGCGAACCTTTGAAACAAGAGCACGCATCGGCCCCCATCAGCCCGCACCGAAACTAACCTGTAAACACGCGTGTTCTACGAATTAGGGTCGCGTTCGCACTAAGACCGTCAAGAAGGCCTCGCGCGTTCTGATTGAGAAGTACTACCCCAAGCTCACTCTGGACTTCCAGACCAACAAGCGCATCTGCGACGATGTTGCCATCATCGCCTCGAAGCGCCTGCGCAACAAGATTGCTGGCTTCACCACTCACCTGATGAAGCGCATTCAGCGTGGTCCCGTCCGCGGCATCTCGTTCAAGCTGCAGGAGGAGGAGCGCGAGCGCAAGGACAACTACGTTCCTGACGTCTCGGCCCTCGACACCTCGGCCATCGAGATCGATCCCGATACCAAGGAGATGCTCAAGTCGCTCAACTTTGAGAACCTCCCCGGTGTCTCGGTCACTGCCCCGGTCCGCTCCGGTCGTGCTGACCGCCGCGACTTCCGCCGCCGTGGCGAGCGCCGCCCCCGCCCCCAGCGCCAGGCTGCCCCCGCCCCCGCTGCCCCGGCTGCCGTCGAGGCCTAAGCTTTTCTGGTCATTCATTATCACTTTGTGTAGCGAATACACTCCTGCCAGCTTTATCACTGTAATGTCTCCACCTCGCCCTCGCCCCTATGTGTCACCCGGCTGCCAGTGGTGCTGCGCAGAAGCGCCCTTGATCCCCAGCCAGTGCGAAAGTGAGGAGGCGGAGTGGTGGTTTGATTGTATGTCTATTAATATGTAGATTTCCTGGTCAGTGCTGCTACTGCACCGTCTTGAGCAACTAGCTGCCTGCCTGTCCCGTGGCCCTCCAGCTACATAGCTGCACTACTGCCTTCCTGCCAATGAATCCTTGAGGGCTTGGCGTGGTAACAGGCCTTGTGCGAACAGTATGTCTCCGCAATTCCCACCGAACATTGGTTTGATGTCCCACCCAGCCCACCAGAAGCCACACGGCATGAATGAGTGTTTTGTATTTTTACTCGGCCATGTAGAGCATTATGTCCTCGTTTTGCTAAGCTTTATTGTGGCAATTGAGGGGCTTTGTTAGCTCGCTAAACCTGCGCCCTTAATTTATTTTACTTTGACAGAAAAAGATACTAGTACATTGGCATTTCATTGGGATGCACTGTATCCAGGTGGTGCGACCACCCCTCGGTTGTGAAAAAGTATGACTGGCAGAACTGGCAGAAATGCGCATTAGACGGAGTCTTCCCGCAAAACATCTGCCCATCGCAGCTCCCGTGCGCAGAGCGGCTGTTGACAAAGAGATTTGGGGTTGTTGCCTCGGCGTGCATTGCGTGTATTTTGTACAAGATTGGTAGGGTGGTGAAGAGAATGAAGAGAGATGGATGGTGAATTGGATGGAGCTAGAAGAGAAAAAGGGCGTCGATTCCGCCTTTTATAGCGGAATTCCAGGTATGGCGCATCTAGGAGACATAGCACTCATCCCCTCCTACCAAGACGCTTGGTTGTGTGCCCCGGTAACAACCCCTCCTTGCAGGCCACCCCCGCACGCATATTTTTGAACCCCGACAGACTCTATTGTTAAATCCCACCTATTTTCTCTTTCGATGTTTTTTGCTTACTGAACGTACTCTTTCAGAGGAAAATAGATGCATTCGCTTTCCGTGGCCGATCGAGACAGCACCCAAAAAACACCTGTTCACAAATGCTTTACCATACACGCGCTTGGCTCGTTGCAAAACTGGTTTCTGCTGCCTGATTCTCTGCTGCTAATAATAGCCTTTAAGGAGTACAATGTGCGCTTGATGTCGTCGTAGTGCTACGCTTTCCGCTGCAGATATTCCGCATATAGACTTAAACTGAACACACCCAGAAACTCTCTGCCAAGGATGCTTCGGCTATGCCGGCCAGAATAGGGCGAGTGCATGCTCCTTTTTAGAAACGGCAATCTTCACAAAGAATCGTGGCCAAGGCTCTTTGGAATATTTTCAGCACTTTGAGGAGAGCCAATGTAGATCGACTTGTGGCCGGGATCACTCTTGGCATCGGTTTGGCAGACGCCGAATGTCATATCCTGATATGAACGGGCTTGCTTCCTGTAGAAATCTTTGATATCGCAGATTGGAATGAAAATTTAATGTGCTTGGCGTTTTTGAGGTGCCGTGTGGATACTTCCCATTAGATGTGTGCCATTCAGAACCAGCTGCACGCAGTTGCATCCCCACACGCATCGGGTGTGGACTGCAAGGCGTACTTGGATGATCTTCTGTGAGACCATCCCTAAATCAACCACTGCATTCTTGCGCACCGGACCATCTATTGAATGGTCGATAGCCAATATACAGGGCTGTAGCGGAGGTTTGGAAGAAAGCAGCGTGGTTAACCTACCATGAAACTATTCTATGCACCTTTCTCATTGGCTTCTTAGATTGCTGGTGCAAGTAGCTGTATACCAGCTGACATGTTCATTGCAGCATGAGATGCGCATCTGCACTTTCTGTAGGCAACATCACTAAATAGCGAATTGTATTGGTGTATGCCACTTGCCAAACGCTCTCAGAGGAACTGCTACTAAATGGGAGCTTTTTCTGTATGCGAGCCTGAGCGTGGTCGCAGGATCCCCGATATGCTTCTGCTCTAGCACCCCGCCCCAGATCTCAATTCAGTATGTAGAGGACATCTAGATTTGATCATGAACTGGAATGTAGCAGATCTGCTCCACACAAATCCTGACTGCGCAATTCAGCGTGCTTTCAATGCGTGTTTTTAAAAGTAGCTTTTTGTTTCTGTTGATTTGGTCGCTTTTTTCTCTCCATTCCAAAAATCGGCTTTTACATTTATGCTAGAATGCCAGCCGAATTCCAGCTATTGAAGGGCTTCTGTATTTCATGTAGTGGGTTCAACGTCAGCGAAAAGGTAACGGCGCAGTAGCATACAAAGGTCATCCCCACCTGCTAATTTCTATGCACATGTATTAATTCACAGAAACCCTGTGTAGAATGACATACACCGGCGCGTTGATCAGCTTGGCGGCAAAACATGTACCGGCCTTACAACCTCCGTGACGCAACTGGTCATGAAGACCATAGACGCCCAGTCAAAAAAGTACCGCGCTTCAGAAAAGGCCAGCATACCTGTAGTGTCGCTAGACTTTATTACCGAGTGCGAGTACGAGGCCAGTCGGCGACGCAAAACCGTTTATGACGAAGACGACGTCGCAGGTATTGTCAGCGAGATCACAGAGCGTGCTCGCCTGCCGCCGTTCGCAGGCTGCCGCATATGCACCACAGGATTTTCTGTCGAGCAGCGGGAGGAAATTAAGCGGCTGGTGACCACACGGATAGATCACAATGACATTCTGTACAAGAGCTATGCTGGATGGCCGGCCGGAGATACTGACCATCGGCGGCTTAGGATCGTATCATGGGGAGCTGACACCCGATTGCACACACTTAATTGCTGCCAGTCTAACCGGGCAGAAGTGCAAGTACGGACGGCTGTGGGATGTCAGCATTGTTTCGTTTGAGTGGTTCAGGAAGAGCGTAGCCACTGGGTTTCGCCAGGACGAGAGCAAGTTTGCGCTCGTGAGTCGTGCCCCGGAGAGCCCTAGTCCAAACGCCAGGAAGCCAGGGACAGAGAACACCGCAGAGCGCTAGTGCGCAGCGATTCAATGCAGCCTTCCATGGTACCACAGACGCGGGCATCAGATGTTGAGCCCGATTTCTCATTCTGCAGCGATACGGACTCTCGGCCAGTGACTCGAAACCGGACAGCTGCTGGCTCAATGAACCTACTGATTCGTATGACCTACCTCCAGGGTTGACTGGTCCGCTCGATATCGACGACGACGAACTCGAAGTCATTGCAGTTAACCCGCCGACAATGAACAGACCCATGGCATCTGTCGCTAATGTCACCAACACTGCCAGTAAACGGCCGCCGACCCCAAAGCAGTCGTCATCACCACTACTTTCTCATATGGCAGGCATGGAACCTATGTTCGACTCGTGCCGCATTGCGCTCTCTGAGGCGTCGCTCAGCTACAAGCCAGACGGAAAGAATGGCGGACGAAAATTGCCGAGGCAGGAGGGATATGGATCGCCGAAGGGGCTATGGATCGGCACATTCGATACTTGGCAACGCATAATTCGCAACGGAGCGGTCGGCAGCCGTTCTGCACGCATTTCGTAGTAGACGACTCTGACGAATTATGCAGCGAGGATCTGGCAACACTGCAGGCGCTCGAAAGTGCGTTGGCACCGCCTAATCAGCTTGCGGCCAGTATGCCAGATCATCTTAAGCTGACCGGGTCATCACCGTTATCGTCCATGGGCCACCTTGAGTTTCCAATGGTTGTTCAGAGTGGCTGGCTACGTGCGTGCTGGAAGGCGAAGCAGCGGGTAGATGAGACTGCATACCTGCTATCATTGCCAGACTCGATGGCTGCTGCTCGGCAGGAGTCTGCAGATACGGTTCCTGTGCCAGTGTCAAACAGATCCGACTCGCAGGTGATGGCGGAGTCGGCAAAGCACGTAACCTCTTCTCGTAGATCACGAGTAAGCGGAGTAGGTGCTGACAGCAACGGACTGGCAATTCCAATATTACGGCCACAGTCGTCTACAAGCGGCTCGGCTCTCTACCAGGGCGGCAAATGGCGGTGGAGACAGGAGAGTACGAAGCACAGAATCGATGGTTGGTCGACCGATCGGTGCAGCATGGGAGGAGTCCGACCCTTTTATGGTCGACAAAAGCGGTGCCCAGCTGAGCCGCGAGAACCTGCTAGATACATCAACTGACCCGCTTTTTAGACGCAAGCGACAGCGCACATTGCAACACCAGGATCCGCTGCAACATAGCGGGCATGGGTGCGCTTTTGGCGGCAGACAGGAGACATCGTCGTATATGTCATCTCCAGCTCAACTTTGATCTGCAATCACTCCACCATTTGAGCCCAGAACCCAACCCGACGCATGTCGCTGCGCATAGCCTCCCTTTGGTAGTCCCGCGCTCCATCCCGGCCTGTCGAAACAGCCGCTCTTAGGGTTAACAACGACAGCGCCTCAGACAAGGCTGGATCTGGCTGATCTCTTTGCGCATTGCAAGTTCACATCCTTGGGGTTCTCAGCAAATGACGTTGCGACACTGGAGAGGGTAGTGAATGAGCATGGCGGGTCATACATCAATCTGCTCAGTTGCCTGCCTGAGCCGCTGATCAGCCAGCAGGGAACCAAGGCGCTAAAATCGGAGGCATCGCTTCGATCGGCACTGGGGGCGCTGGCTTGCTTCGCTGACGGCGAGGATGTGGCCAAGATCTATGTTGTGGTGCATCTTAGTGGGCTGCCTGAGGTACATCTCTGCGAGTCGGTATGCGAAAATTACCCATTTATGGATGTTGTCACGGAATGCTGGATCGAACAATGCCTGCAAGAAAGTGTACGCTACCCTGGCTTCAACGAATTAGCAAACAGACAAGGTGCCTATACCGGTCTCAGCAAGGGCCAGCATGTGCTATTTCGTCCTGTTCGGGACCACGTAATCGAAGATACTGGCGCCATGCAGCTGAGCATTAGTGGCTATGAGGGGATCGAGCGCGACCACATTGGAAAGCTGGCGTCGGTTCTCAAGATTCCGTTTAGCGAGCGGTTTACGCGCCAGACAACACACCTTATCTGCCATTCGCCGTTTAAGGGCCCGAAATATGAACGGGCAATTAGATGGGGCATCCCGGTTGTCGAGTCATCATGGCTATATGATATTGCACTGCACAGTTCACTAGACAGTGGCAGGGCTAGGGATGTGGTCCCAAATAAGAGCAGTAGCACAGCCAAGGCGCCGGTTGATATGGAGGTTGATCATCAAACGAGGACAGCTGCAGACCAAAAAATGATGCCGCCGCCAGCGCCAGTGGTTCGCAAGACGGTACAGAGCCCAGCGGCAACTATGCTTACGACGCCAAACTCGGTTGGCAAGAGCAAGACGCTGCTGAAGACGCCACTGAGCAATATATCCCAGCGCGAAGTGTCTAATGGTACGCCCGGAGTGACACCAATGGATGTTGCGCTCGAGCGCAACATGCAGCAGGCGATTGATCGGCTCTCGAAGGGAGCTGGTGCTGCGCACACAACGCCAACGCGCGCATCTGGCACACCCATGTCTTCCGATTTACAGACGCTCGGTGATCCCGGTGATGGTGACAGGTCGTTGAAGCATATATTGGACGGTGTGGTCATCGCGTTGACAGCACGTCTCTACCATCGGCGCAACGAGCTGGCCGGGATCGCAACAGAGCTAGGCTGTCGTATGCTACCGCGGTTCGATCCTACCACGACCACACATCTGGTCCACCAGTCGACACGAGAGAACGAGACGCTGCGGGACTACAAGACTGCAACGCAACATGGCATCAACGTTGTTTCCCCATGGTGGCTGTATGCATGTCGTGATATGAGGGAGCGTGTGCGGGAGAGAGAATACCCATACATTTACCAGCCTGAGCGGCGTTTGCGGCTGGTGGCTATATCTCCCGAGAAGACAGTACCGCCAGCGTCGGCGCCGATGTCCAAGCCCAAAAATACTAGCGGGACTAGCAGCAGGGCAAGTAGCAGGGCGGGAAGGCTGGCAGAGCCAGTACCGGCAGCAGCAGGTATGCTCGCAGGTAGCAATGCTGGCCAAAGGAACTCACGAGCTCATGGCCAGATATCACAAAACACAGCTGCTGTTGGCACTGTTCTACCTAGGCATGCTGAGACAGGTGCCGCGTCAACACCATGGGTTCCAATCCCACCTACTGGCACCAACACAGTATCGATTGGCAACCTATTTGGCGAAAAGGTTGCACGGACACGCCGACGCTATCGCCGGGACTGCCGGCGACCCAGCTGATTCTGCCAGCGGAATGTCGCATGTTGCCGGTGACGGCGAAAAATCCGCAAGTGGTGCCAAGCGGGTGGCCGAGCCGCCCAGCTCAGAAGGCGCCGACGCACAAAGTCTTCTCAGAGACGGCCAGGCGACACGATCCAGCTCGCTCCACGACGCAGCCGGCCCTGTTCCCGTCTCCTCAAGTGAGGTGGGCAGCAAGTGGTGGCGAAACACTGGGCAGCAGTCGGTCTCGCCATACGGCACTGGGTTCCCGACTGATCTGTACTCGCAGGACTTCCAATTTGGCGGTCCCGGCGGTGTGGATAGGAGAATCAGCATGGGCGATGTAGAGGTATCGCCTGTATCGTCCGGGGCTACTCATATGGATGATACGCCAGCCAGACCGGGGGATCAAAGAGATGACACGCCTACCAAACAGCAGGACAGCACATCTGATCAGCAGCCAGGAATACCCCTGCTGTCGAGTCCCTTGGCTGGTCAGAATACGAGGATCTTCTATGAGGAGGACGCTGAAGCGCGGTCGGAGCGGGACAAGTTCCTGCAGCAGCTGAAGGGGAAGCGTTAGGCTGCCGGCGGCCATGTAATTCTATATTTATTCAGCAGACTTTAGTTTTCAATTAGCAAACTCTCAATTTACATGGCGGTAGGCTTGAGCGTCTTTGGGTCGAAGCCAAACTTTGCCAGATCAGCACGGGTCTCCTTTGGGTCGTCGAGGGTTTGGGCAAGGAAGAAAGTGGTGAGAGACTCTGCGTCCCAGCCCATCAGCTTCCGGCCAGTCTTTGTCCTGACCTGGCCGCCGAACGCACCGATGAGCTGCGATACCATGGGGGCAGGTGCCGGCTGGCCATTGGTGATCTTGACCATCTGTGCAAGCTCGCTGCTGTTGAGAACACCATCGCGGTCCTTGTCGAGCCTCTGGAAGATAATTGCGAGCACCTTGGTGACCTGCGGGCTGAGGCCAGAGCCAGCGGCATTTAGCAGCGGGGTCTCACCCTCACTGCCGTAAGCGCTGCTGACAATGGAGCTGACTTCGGCCATTAGCTCGTGGATCGGCTGGAACTCGGCGTTGATGGCGCGACCCACGGCCAGGATATCCAGCGACGGCTTGAATGCATTCAGCATGTAGCACATCAGAGCAAGCAGGTAGTAGCTCTCCGCCGAGTTCGGGAAGTACTCCTGCACCAGGATCAGCCGGTAGGCAGCTTCAGCGAACACCTCCGGGCCAGCCTGCGGGCCGGCTCGCAGCATGCTCTTGACCTCGTCCAGCTTGGTCTCGGCAGCCCTTGTGGACCGCATAGAGTCATCGTGCGAGGCAGGGAACACGCGTGAGTATCGCTCGCGGTAGCACTGGAGCCCGAATCCCGTATACGTCCAGTCGTCAGTGTCCTGGACAGGCTGCTGGCGGCGCCAGGGTGCGAGGTCAGTGCTGGCAGCCAAGTGTTCGGTCAGATCGATGCCAGACTCAGCGAGCAAGTCGACAATGTAGCCCCGATCGCCGAAATCGGCTGAGACCTTCTCAAGCCAGAGCTCGTCGCAGCCAACCAGTCTGTTCAGAGCCCGGCTAGCCATAGCCAGCGATGCAAGATCGGCGGCTTCGAGCTCGAGCGCGATCTGGTTGAATACCTCCTGGGGCAGCGATTCGATTGCAGATGCCATGAGTGCAGAGGAAAAAGTCAGTAAACAGGATGGGGGAGTCCCCGCAGGACCAGCATACGGAATGGGCCCTAGCGCTATGGCGGCTAGACCACCAAATGTGGGACGCGAGTGTGAAATAGGGAAAGTTTAGTTGAAAAATAAGGAAAATGGAGATCGAGTTTTACACAGAAATCTGGTTCGGCCCTACATCCCAGAACGGATCTAGCCCGCCTTACTTGCTGGCATCGGCAGGGGCGGCGGCCTTCTTGGTCTTCTTTTTCGGAGCCTCAGCCGACCCGTTGGCAGCAGTCTTGGTCTTCTTAACCTTCTTGGCTCCGCCCTCGGTCGACTTGGCTGTGCGCTTCTTCGAGGGCGAGGCAGGAGTGTCCTCGGCAGGAGCGGCAGCAGCCTTCCGCTTCACCACCTTCTTGTGGTGGGTGGGGGCAGCGGCAGCCGCCTTGGGCTTAGCAGCAGCCTTGGTCTTGGTGGCAGCCTTGGGCGAAGCGGCCTTCTTGGCCTTGGGCTTGGGAGCAGGCTTGGTGGGCGCAACAGGCTCCTCCTCCTCCTCTTCCTCTTCCTCCTCCTCCGACGAAGAATCACCATCGGCAGACTCCTCGGGCGATGAGGCAGCAGACGAGGCAGCACCAGCAAGGGTGGAGCTGATCTTAGCCACGACGTTGCCGACACTGGTGGCAGCCTTCTCCTTCTGGGCCTCGTATTCCGCCACGCGGCGCTTGTAGTCGACACGCAGCACCCGGTGCTCGGCAATATACACATCACGCTCCTCTTGGGACAGGTTCTTCCAGGCATCGCCAACGCGCTTGGCAATAGTCTGCGAGGGAGCATCGGGATCAGCCTGGCGGATCTCGTTGCGGTGTTCCCGGCTAAACAGCAGGTAGGGCGTCATCGGCCTCTTGGGCTCGAGCGGGTCGCGCACGCGAGCGGCAGGCTTCGACTGCTTCAGCGGGATTCCCGACATGCGCTCAAGCACCTGGGACATCTTCAAAAACATCTCGGCCAGCTACAGAGCGAAGTGCCAGGAAATTAGCACCCACGACACGCATAGCTGCTGACCTCTGCTGCAAGGAGAGAGGAGGCAGAGAGGCTAGCCCAGACTAATATTCTCTTTGCACATCCACGCATACATACCTCGTTCGTGTCCTCGGCTGTGACCTCGATGGCGGTCTTGACCTCAGGGGTCTTGGGAGTAGGCTTGCGACCCATGGTTGGGAAATAGGAAAGCTGTAGTAGAGCTGGGTTTAAAAAGTACTAAAAAAGCAGGAGAAGAGCTGATGGTGTAGAGAGAAAATGGGGAAGGAGGCCGGACGCGTCGCCCTTTTACCACCAGGTCGAAGTTTCGCAAAAAATCGACCAGCACTGGGAGGATGGCCGGCTAGCCAGAACAGCCCAAAAAAAGGCGTAAACAGTATCTGCACTGAGGGCGTCAGCAATGTTTGGGCGGGCCGGCCGGGGCAGGCTGGAATTTCGGTTGAAAAATCGAAATGTGCAAGCAGCAGCCCAGCGACGCTTCTGATTCGTTGGCAGGAAAGCAGGGGGGCTTTGCCCCGGCTGCATGT